CGGTGCAGTGGCCAGCGTCGATGCCGAACTGGCGAAAAGTCCGCAGCCACTAGCCACCATAAGCATCCAAGATCTGACCAGCATCCAACTCCGACGAACCACCACCACCAAGATGAACGCAACGAAAACGTTCTCCGCGCCCCCACCGCGCAGTGTGTCCATGACCAACGGTACCGTCTCTTACCTTCCTTCTCTACCTTTCAACCCTTACACCCATTCTCTCTTTCGCACAGTTTCAGAATCGTTCTTCGTCCAGAAGACCGACTTGATCGCGGAACTCAAGAGGACCAAGGACATTCCTGGGATTAAGAAGCTCAAGGTAGAGATGGCACAAGTCGAGAAGACGCAAGAGCAGAATCTCATGTCGGAAATCAACAAGGCGTTCAACGTTTCGAACTTTGTGGACCAGGTAAGCGAAAATTCATTCGCTCCTTATCCATAAACTCCTCCGTTGTTATCTCCTTCTTAACCACGACGGCGCTCTTTCTCGAAAGATTCCCGACAAGGACAGTTCCGGGAATGTGATACCAATATGGAAGCGACAAATGCTTGCTCGAAAGGCCGCTGAAAGGGCGAAGAAAGAGCTGGAAGAGCAGATTGCCAGAGAGAACGAGGAGAGACGACAAAAAGCGATCCCTGCTTGGAAACGGCAACTCCTCGCGAAAAAAGACAACGAGGAAAAAAGGTCGGTCTCCGCCGTTCTCTGTAACTTTAGTACGTGTACTTAATAACGTACACTTCCATCCTAGACTGAACCAAGTGTACGCAGCGCCAACGGTGAAGTTGGAGGCCACCGCGACGCCGAAAAGGGACGCATCGCCCAACAACCCCTCGCGGCACACCGACAAGTCGGAAATCGAGGAGAAGAAGAACGACGGGAACACCGCGAATCAAGGGACGAATGGGACGCATGCGAGTCAGACGGACGACGACGCACAGATTATTCCGTGGCGAGCGCAACTCAGAAAAACCAACAGCAAGCTCAACATTCTCGATTAATCGGACGCGTCCGATGGTCGGATGCGACGGACAGTCGCATCGCGCGTCCATCGAACACGCCTCGCGGAACACGCTCTCTTTGTACATAGTATCGAGTAAAGTTTATATACGAACAATCCCTTCGAATCTTCTCTCGATTTTTCTATCTCTTTGAAAAAACTAGCATCCGCCATTTCAATTACCATTTCCTGCACTCGCCGCCCCTAGTTCGTTAACGGTCCTCGCGGCAACACGCCCGCCCCGCCACGTGGACTTAGGGCCGACGAATAGGGGGAAGCGAGTGCAACAGGAGTAAAGAGACTTTAGTTGAATTAACCGCTCGTCTATCCTACCTACACGGTTACGGATAGCAATGCCAACACAAGCAACGACAGGCGCGTACAAATACGGCCCGCTAGTGTTCGTTGAAGCAATCCGCCGCGCTGTCGTAACGCCACTGCTCTGGCACTGTAGGGACGTCGCGCAGTTCGAACGACAGCTGCCAGTAACGCGCCGCGCCGACCATATTTCTACGCTACGTTCTCCGACCGAAACAGGATTATCTCTCCACAGCCCTATCGCGTCCTCTTCACCCTCCTCGTTCCACGTACGCCACCCTTCCTTTTCCTTTCTAGAGTTCCCCCGCGCGATATAGCCCCCGCGCGAGTGTGTGTCTTTATCGAGAAACTCCCTCCCTACAACCCTTCCTACAACCAATTCTCCAGGAAAGGATGGCGTTCAACTGGAAAGTTGTAGGTAAGCAATTTTCTCATATTATCTCTCTCTCTCTCTCTCTCTCTCTCTCTCTCTCTCTCTCTCTCTCTCTCTCTATTTCCTGCGCTGTTAAATCGAGTTTCGCGCTACCCAGCCTACCATAGTTCGAATTGGTATGTGCTTCACGCGAGAATCGGTGAAACTTTCCTCACGCCTGAATTATACGCCTGAATCTGCTCACCCTCGCTCGGTCTACGTATAACGTTGTTTCGCCGATAAACGGAGGTGATGTGCGGCACGCGCTTCGTCCCGTGAGAACCGAGCCAGCTACGTGACCACCACACAAGCCAAGACGAATGTGTATAAATAGCAGCCGGAAGCAATCGTGGCTAACAAGTTCTGGGTGAAGGTCACCGTTAATCTTCGAACGCGAGACCGATTGGTCTTAAGACGAAAAAAGACCGGTCGAAACTCTGAACAACCGTGAACAAGATGAAATTATTGCTCCTCGGGGCCCCGCGGATCACCCTCTTGATTCGATTCGTTAATTCGTTGGAAGGTTCGAGATACCAATGGGAACAAATTGATACTTACACCGGTACACCGGTACACCGGTACCGAGAGGCACGTTACTGCGTATCACGATCCATAGCTAGCGCCGCAACGAGAACACAAATCGTACTGAGACATACAAATCAAAACCACCCAATTACACCCGCCGCATTTTCAGATTGCCTTACCTGCAGACAAGTGCTAAACATCATGGTAATCCTGGGTTTCATGTTGAACTACATGCTACGAGTGAACATGACCATCGCCATTGTTTCGATGATAGTCCCGGGCAACGACAGCTTGCACACGGCCGATCAGAACGCGTCCAGCCACACCGAATGCTTCGATCGACCAGTCACGGAGAACGGCGACGTTACTTGGTCCGATAATGGATCAACTGCGCCGAATTCGTTCCCTTATCCGTCGAAACGCGTACGTTCCACATTATCGTCCATTGAAACGTCGCTTTATCGTAGTTCCCTTCCACTCCAGCTCGATCCTCCTGGCGAGCTACCGCCGACGATCACGTTTCCGCTCTGCTTCTCAGCAGCCTTCTCAAAAGGATACGACGGATCAAACGAGGTATCCCTGGAACGAGTATCAAGTGAACCTCGTGTTGGGCAGTTTCTTCTGGGGCTACATATGCACAGAATTACCCGGTGGAAGGCTCGCGGAAATAATAGGACCTAAACGAGTGTTCGGATACAGCATGTTGGTATCCAGCGCTATTACGTTTCTGACGCCACTGTGCGCGACCTATGGGTACATCGCCGTCGCCGCCCTGAGAACTATTCTTGGCCTCATGCTGGTGGGTTTTTTCCTTCCGTCAAATTCTCTACCAAATTTTTCAAACTGACCCGTATTGCTTGCGCAGGGCGCTACTTGGCCTGCCATGCAGCCCATGACCGCCCGATGGATACCGCCGAGCGAACGCAGCAAATTTGTTTCCAATATGATGGGTAAATGTGCAACACGTACCTTCTATTAGTCTGCGGGGTAGAACCATAGTAGAAATTTCCTTCTCCTATTCTAGCCTCGTCGCTCGGAGCAGCGATAACGATGCCCTCTTGTGGCTTTCTCATCGCTTCCCTAGGATGGGAATCCGTATTCTACGTAACCGGAACGATAGGACTCGCGTGGAGCGCGGCATGGTTTCTCCTCATATTCGACTCACCTAGCCAGCATCCGAGAATTTCCAAGGAAGAACGTCGATTCATCGAGAACGCGATCGGTTCTACCTCTACGACAAAGGTTCTCAAACCTTGTGTTATCTGCATACATACCATAACCATACCATGCCATTTACTGTTGTTTACAGCGGTTGTCCGTTCCATGGAAATCCATCTTCCTCGCGCCTCCTGTTTGGACCATCGTGCTCACTCACGGGTGCAACGTATTCGGCTACTTTACCGTTGTCAATCAACTACCAACCTACATGAAGTACATCTTAAACTTTAACATCAAACAGGTTAAAGGAACACCTTCACTTGCGCTTTCTCAGTCGAAACAACTCAATCACTCACTTACCGTCTCTTCGTAGAATGGAATGCTGTCTTCTTTACCGTACCTAGGCAAATACATCTTCGCAGTGACAACGTCCTCTGTGGCCGATTACTTGTTCAAAAAGAATAGATTGTCGGTAACAGCTATTCGGAAGATTTTCACTACTCTCGGTAAGCAAAGAACACTTGTGAGCGATACATCAATAATTCTCGGTCCCTTCTCTTCTTTTTAAAGCTGTGCTAAGCCCAGGACTGTTGATGATAATCCAAGCAAATTATGGATGCGATCGCGTTACCTCTGTATCGATCTTCACGATAGCTCTGACCATCAACGGCGCCGTGACAGCTGGTTATCTCGGAAACTGCTTGGACATCGCACCAAATTTTGCCGGCACTATCTTCGGCATAATGAACACTCTTGGCTCCCTAGGTGGATTTCTCAGCAGTTACATGGTCGGCACCATCACGTATAAGAATCAAACTTATGCTCGATGGAGCATCATCTTTTGGATACTCGCATTTACGTACTGTTTCGGTGCCGTGGTATTCTCCATTTTTGGTACCGGTCAATTACAAAAGTGGAACAATCCCGAGGAAAAGCAGGATGAGGAAAGGGTGAACGTAAAAGCGGATGCAACCAATCTGGGAGAAGAATTCGAACCTCCGAAGGAGAAGAAGGTTCCTTAACGAAACTATCGCAAGTAGAACACGGTGGTCCTTGTGTTTTTCGATCGAGGAGAAATAAAAAAAAAAAAAAAAAAAATATATATATATATTTACGTACATAGATTTAAGGCTTTCTATGTTTGTATATAAAGGATCATTATGAAACGTGACGAGAGAGAGGAATAAAGCTACTTCGTATTTTTACCCTTAATCATCTGACACTTGTGTTAGGTTTATCGCCGTAAAGTATGCGATGACGACATTTCCGATCGGTAAAATGAATGCTTAACAATAGTAGGTAACACATTACCCACCGAATATAGTAATCCACCCGGTCGGTAGGATCACACTCCACGCCACCGACGTTTCAGCTTTCTTCGCGATACCGTTGCAACACAATATGTATAGTAGTTCTTAGTTCTCGGTATGTGTATACTGTTCCTAGTTGGTTGGCCGAGGTATGTAACGAGGCACACACTGGTAAGGAACGAAGAACTACGTGCATGAGAATAGCGTGTACGACGGAGGATGGTGATCCAAGTAGAGGAAGAGGTCGTGAAGCAGTAATAATCCAGGACACGGGTTGAAGGGTAAACAAGGCACAGAGATGGGACGGCGGCGCATCCGCGTCGCGATGACCGGCGTATAGGCGCCGCGCGTTGCGGTGATGCTCGCCGTGACGCGTGGCGCTGCGGCGCTCTGCCGATATGCCAGGAGCACAGCCAAACGAGGAGACGTTCGCTCCTTTTTCTTTCTTCCCTCTCTTATTCTCTTTCGCGCATCAATGTCCCTCCTTCTCTATTCTGGACTCCGTCCATGATTTCTAACCTGCTGCGATATTTCAATCTACGTTAGAGAAGAATCTTTCTCGACCTTTTTTCCCGAAAAAATCATTCGATACATCGCGACGATAGTTGGAATGACGAAACGTTGAAACGAAAGCTACATACATACTACGTGAAAGACTATGGAAAGAATGTATCATTTGTGAGATGGTGCGAATCAAACGAGTACAGTACCGAAAAAACCAAGCCATTAGAATTTCTATGCGACGTAGAAGAAGAGTAAGTATATAAGTACTTATGTATCTATATAGTACTTGACACATAAATAGTACGGAAAGGACCAGCAACAATGTTAAGGCTATTTTGTTATATCTATAAGTAAATAGGAAGATTCGAGTAACGTTATACTCTACGTATCGCAGTGGCGGCAGTCAAGCAGGGGAAAAAATGAGACTGGATCGCGAAGTCAGGTAAAAAGAAGAGAACGCAACAGAATGCGAAAAATCTACGGCGGCAGAGGCGGCGGCGGCGGCGGCAGCGGCAGCAGCAGCG